TTTCCCACCATGAAGGGCTCCTGTCTGTTTTCCCCTTGCAGCACAGAGGTTTGAGGTGTGCAGCTCACAGCTGGTGGCAGAGGGCAGTGACACCAGCATCGCTGCACTTTCCAGAGCAAACACAGCCCAGACCCCAGCCATGCTGACAGCCAGGTTGCTCACCTGTGCCCAGGTATTTCACCCAGCCAGCCTGACCCCTTTCACACAGAAATGCTCACAGCCACTCCTTCATTTCTCTGGGAATCCAAACCCTTCTTCTCTGACCTTAACTATGCCATGCTCCATCCTGGTGCCTGCTCAGAGAGGGGGACACTGCCTGGCAGCTCCTCACCCCCCTCTCCATCAGCACAGCTCCTCAGCCCCTTCCCATCCCTCCTGGAGAGCTCCTTGGTGCTGATCTGAAGTTTGGATGCAGTGTTGTTTTTATATATAAATGACATTATGACAAATGATGAAGGATTAAATTACACTTCAATCAAATCATGCCAAACCAGTAGGGATTGAGGTCCCAGTGGAAAGTATACATGGAGTTCCTCAGCTTCCTGATTTGAATGACTTTGTTCTTCTTCCAAAGAAAAGGGGAGGGGGGGGGGACGAAGGAGAAGAGAGGGAAAAGGGAGAGGAAGGGGGGATTTGGCCTAAAATGAAACATTTTCCTTTTAAGTTGAACATTTGAAAATGGCTGGGAGGAAAGAGCTGAAACACTGTAATGGCTGATACTGAAGAACAGCCTGGGACTTTTGCTTTTGGAGAACAGAAGCCAGGGAGAGAGCTGTGGTGTGAAAAAGGCAATGCTGTGTGCCTTGAAGGGGAAGGTGTTTGCAGCAGCCCACCTCCCGCAGACACTGAGAGCCCCCTGCAAGGCACTAACCCAATTAGCTTTGCTAGAGCTGTGCCTGCAAAGGCAAAGGACTGACAGTGGTTTTGGTAAAGGCTAAAGACAGCTTCCCTGTGCCTTGCACTCCATCGGAGCCGCTTTGTTATCTTTGTGCTGCCACATCTTGCAAAGGTTGGCTCCAGAGCCTCCAGCTCTGCAGCTCTGTCCAGCCAGAACCTCTCTGCTCACTCTCTGCACTGTTGTGAAGAAATCCTGCAGAAACAGCCACTCCGAGGATGAGTTTGCCTGGAGAGAGACAGACAGACAGACAGACAGACAGATGGACAGCCAGGCAGACACTGTGCTGTAGGTTTGCTTTAAGCACTTTGCCCTGAAAGCTGTATTCAATACAACACACCTCAAGCTGATTTCTGGATGCAAGTTCACAGAATTCACAGAATTCACAGAAATCTTGGGTGCTGTGTCCAACAGAGCCTGTCAGTGATCGGGTATAGGATATTAGGCTCAGGGAGGTGGCAGAGTCACCATGGAAATGGGGGAAAGCTGACTGGGAGGAGTCTGGCTGTGAGTATTAATAAAAATTCCACAGACCTTTCCCAGTCCTTGTCTGGGAAGATCTTCTCTGTGTGAGGAGGTGGATTAATGGGAACAACAACAGCTCAAGAGGCATCTGGGTGCACTTGGGGTTATGGTTGTGGCGATGAGTGATGGTGGGACTGGATGATCTCAGTGTGTTGTGTCCAACAGAGCCCATCAGTGGTCAGGCATTGGGATGAGCTGCCCAGGGAGGTGGTGGAGTCACCATGGACTCATGTCAACATGGTCCATGTCATGTCATGGACCATTGACCATGCTCAGGAGGCATCTGGGTGCACCTGGGGTCATGGCTGAGGTGGTGGGTGATGGTGAGACTGGATGATCCTGAAGGTCTCTTCCCACTGTGATGATTCTGTGATAGTGGAAGCCCAAATAAGTCAAGCAGAGGACACCAGAGTCCCCCTTGGACTGATGCCACTGAGGAACAATGGGGTCAATTCAGGTGTGGCACAGTCCAGGCTGGCATCAGTGTGATGAGCTCAGGGCAGCTCAAAGCCTCCCCAGCAGAGGAGAACAACATTTCTGTGAGTCCTGAGAGCTGTGGCTCCATGTCTGCATGTGAGCCACAGGGCCAGAGAGGGTACAGGAGCTTTTCCCACCTCTCCACTGGATTATTTCTGTCCTCAAACAACACACACGACCTGCACGTGGTGTCTGTCATGGACAACTCCTCCCTGGTCACATTATCACATTATTGCAATAATCTAATCTTGCCAAAATTAAAGGCAAAGAGAGCACTCCAGCAGGTCTCAAATGCCACTCTGAAGGCAGGGCAAGGCCAATTCCACAGAGAAAAGAGCAGAGCCCACAAAAGCACACATGTGCACACGTCTACAAGCATGCTCAGGCACACACTCCTGCACTCCTGCACCTGAACAGGATAAAATCAGATTATCCCTTTCCCAAAGTCCTTTTGCTATGATTTTTCTCCTCATAGTAAAAGGCTTTGCAAAGTATTTTAAAGAACAATTCAGCAATAATTCCCAGGGAACAATTTGTTACCTGTGGTTAACGTCCAATCTGCTCACATGGCAGCTCAACTTTCTGACACAGAAATCCAGGAGAACACTTGGAGAAATCAAGACCCAAATTGGTTCAGCCTCTGAGGATAATAACGACTTAGAAATATGTATAAATTTAAGTGGTTTTGAATAAGGACAGCGTTTCAAAAAGCACTGGAATTGTTACTTTGAAATAAGCCATTATTTTCTGCTTTTTTAAATTCCAGTCTTTAATAGGGGATGAGACCCAGACTGCCAAGAACCAAGGAGAGTTTTTGATGCAAATGAAAAGCGACATTTAAGAAGTGCAAGTATCCCATAATAGAGCCCACACCACATTGCCTGGAGCATCCAGGGATCCATCCAGCCTGGGACACCAGAGCTGGGGGGCTCAGAGGCCCCCTGACCTCGTGGCTGACCTGGTTTGTGCTGGTGAGGCCTCAGGGCTCACACCACAGCCCCACATTCAACTGTTTCCAGTCAAAAAACACAGAAATTCCAACCTGGAGTCAGATCCAGACACTCATGGGCAGATGTGGCCATGCAGGGAAGGGATGAGCTCCTGAAGGTTCCTTGGACTGGATTTACTGATCCTACCCCTGCCCAATGTCCCAGGAAAGGATTAGGGTTAGGTCTGTGTTTCAGTGGGGTTGATAAGGATGGGCCATACTTGGAGAAAAAATCTTCTGGCAAAGAATGATCCAGGACCATCACTGGGATGAACACAAGTGATTCACACACCCACCAAGGAGCTGGGGATCTCCACATCAAACCCTCCATGGACACCCACTCCTGGCAGTGCCACAGCTCCCCAGGCCACTGCCTGGTGGGTGAGAGGAGAAGAAGCAGGAGAAGAAGAAGAGAGGAAGAAGAGGAGGACAAGAAGCAGGAGGAGAAGAACAGGCGCTCCCTGTCCTCCCCATACAAAGGGAAAGGAGCAGGATGTGCCTTCCTCAGCCCCAGCTGGGCCAGAGTCTCCTCCTGGGTGCCCAGGACACAGCTCTGCCCTGGCAGGAGCTGAGCTGGTGGGGATGGGAGGGCAGCCAGGGGGTGAACCATGGAATCACAAATTCAGGATCATCGAGTCCAACCATGACCATCACTAACCCAGGTGCCACATCCATCTGGTTTTTGAGCACTTCCAGGGGTGGTGACTCCATCAGTGACTCTGTGGTGACTCCACCTCCAGGGGTGGTCACTGGAACGTTGGGTTCCAGGCTGTTCCATGCTTTACAACCCTTCCCATGAATAATTTTTGTCAATCTCCAACCCAATCCCACCCTGGTGCACCCCCAGAGGACGAGGCTGCCCCTCATGCCAGGGAGAAGGTGGGAGCAGGGAGGGGCCTGGCACAACAGGGAGTGACAGAGCAGGAGCTGGCCCTGGACAAAAGGCCCAATTAAAGCGTTCTCCTGCAAACAAACATCCCCTCAGCCCAACTTTTTCAAAGATGGCTCAGGAAAGAAAAGGGCCACGGGATCGGCGGGATCAGCCTAAGTCATGTACATCTATTTAACAAGAAAACTCATTGATAAGCAAACCACCTGATGCTTGCACAGCAGAAAAGAAAACACCTGGTTCTGCCTGTGGGTTGATAAGCCAATATCTTTAATCTTTTTTTTTTCTCTTGATGACTGAAGTACACACTCTGTGCGGCCCTATGCTCCAGCCACATTGGTAATAGTAACAAAGCTTTGATGTCCCCCTCATTCAACAGAATGTTGTTTAGTTCAAAGCAAAGAACAGAGGCAATTCTTTGCTTTTAAATTATTAGCTCCCTAAGTCTTCTGTAATGATATAGTTTGACTGAAGTGTGCAGTTTATTAACTACATAAAGACGATATTATTAGAGCGGAGAAAGGCAGCCGAAAGTTTTGCCTTTCAGCTCAGCAGCAGGGGTTTTTGATACTTTGATCTCAATCAATGCTAAATGTCTTTGTGAGATAGAGGGAGCAGCAGAAATTACCTTTGGCACCATGACTACATCAATTATTTAGTTATTTTTCTTATAAATTAAAGTGTTCTTCAACTTTTACCCCAATTTTTTCTTCCTCTTCCTCCTCTTCTTTTTTTTTTTTCTTTTCCCTTCAGTTACTGGGAGGGGGGGGCAAAAAAGCTGACTGGGAGAAGTCTGGCTGTGAGTATTAATAAAAATTCCAGTGACCTTTCCCAGTCCTGGTCTGGGAAGGTCTTCTCTGTGTGAGGAGCTGGATTAATGGGAACAACAACAGCAGAAGGGGGGCTCAGGGTGATGTGCTGTTTAATCAAATGACTGTGTAGGCTCTTATTCCAAATTTGTCTGTATTTAGCCTAATTGCCTTTTTTTCTGTTTTGTTTTTCCCTTGGTCTTTCCAGTATTGCCATGGAAAAATGGGATGCCTGACAAGGAAGGTGGAGGGAGATTATTTATAAGAGCAAGTGGTAACAGGACAAAGGGGAATGGTTTCCCACTGCCAGAGGGCAGGGTTAGATGGGATACCGGGAAAATGTCCTTCCCTGGGAGGGCGGGGAGGCCCTGGCACAGGTTTTCCAGAGAAGCTGTGGCTGCCCCATCCCTGGAAGTGCCCAAGGCCAGGTTGGAGCACCCTGGGTCAGTGGAAGGTGTCACTGCGGGACTGATTGGGCTTTAAGGTCCTTTCCAACCCAAAGCATTCCATGGTTCCATGACTCCTGAGGCTGAAAGCAGGGCTTGCAGAGAGCCAGAGCTCAGCCCTGGGGCTGCAGCACTGCCTGCACCTGATGCTGGATGCAGGAACTCTCATTAAAGCCCCTGGTGTCAGGTGATCCCACCCAGAGCTGTCACCAAACCCTACCCACACACAGAACTCTTGTCCAGCCTGGAGCCCATCCCCTACAGCCAGAAATAAACCATTCCCACAGCTGATTCATCCCATCCCAAAGGAGGTGACAGACTCCTTCCCTGGGACAGAGGGAACCCAGCATGATGGGACTGGAGGGGAGCGAGGATAACAGAGCTCAGCGCTTCTCCTGGATAACAACAACTGAGTGGGTGTTTCAGTGGGATTTGTGCTCTTTTGGTACTTCAGGGAGAGGCTGGAGCAGAGCCAAGGGAGAAGGGTATCCCTGCAATCTTGGGGACAGCAGCTGGTGGCTGGGCTCAGTGCTGTGGTGCACCAGACTGTGTTAGAAACCACTGGAACCAGAACCTTGGCTGGGAACACGAGCAGCAGGACCACAGAGGTGCTGAGGAGATGCCTTTAAACCAAGATTTAAAACACTGACCTCTGGCCAGAGAAATTCTTTGTGAGCAAGAAATAAAAGATGTCTTTGCAGAGGTGTTGAGGCATGAACTATGGGAACTTCAACATATTTATGTATAGAATGTGTTGGGGAACAACATAGTTCTGTTTTCATGGTGATCAAAGTTTTGCAAGAAGGAGGACTTGAGACAGTGTGCTGAGCTGCTATGGCAACATGAATTTTAAAAAATAAACTGACTTGCAAGAGCTTATCTTTTCCTCTTTAGTGTGGTGCAGAACAGATCTGGGAGCCCTCTGCCTGAAAGGGATCCTGTGAGGTGCTCACCTCTGCTTCTGGGCCAGGTGTATTGCAAAATGCATAAAACATATCCCTCGTGGCAAGGGGAAAATTATTCCATGACTGGCTTTGCACCCCAAAGAGCCAAGTCACGGTGCTTCTGTCACTGTGTGTTTATCACAGCTCAGATTCTCAGATGTTGGGGTGGATGCAGCACGAAGCACTTGGGCTGTGCTGGCATCCTATTCTGGGAGCAGGGTGGGCTGCCAGGCGCTGCTCAGGGGTGAATTCCACCCACGGCAGGCGTTTCCAAGAGCACCATGACGTGGGCTCGGCTTACAGCTCGGCTTTCAAGCCACCCGCACAAAATGTAGAGGCAGCGGTGTCAGGAACCCTCCCTGACAGCTCCTTTCAGGAGGGGATGCTGTGAGGAGCTGTCACGCTCTGAGTCAGCTGTTCTTCCAGGCCTGGCATTCCAGGCAGGAAGAGCCTGCTTGAAGAACCATCCCAACCACGCCGCCTGCCAAAACCACACTGGGAATCCCATGGGAACCAGCCCTCTCCCGGGCCAGCTGGTACTTCCTGCTCCCGAGGCCTGATCCTGCTGGATGCTGAGCATTCTTTGTTCCATTTTTAAATTAATGAGGCTCCAGCAATGCACGGTCCCAGAGCCCGGGGAAGAAACAGCCCCTCGGTGTTTTCAGCACTTTGGCCCAGCTGGAGAGGAGAGGGAAATGTCAGGCTTGAAGAGATGCCTGGAGAACAGATCCATAACCCGGAGATTTTAGCCAGGTTCTCCGAGCTGGCCATGCCCCCACACACAGCTCTCCTCCCCACAGGCTGTGACTCCCAAAGCTGGCAGCCCCATCTCTGCAGAGAAGGACGAGGATCACAGCGTGGGACTCGCTCCCATCCTGTCCCAACAGTGTCCCCTTGAGGCTGGTGCTGAGGCAGCCTGGGAAGAGCTCTCGTGGAGGTGCAGGGGAACCCCAGAAGCTGCTCCAAACAACAAATCCATCCCAGCAGTTGCGGATCAGCCTGAGTGAAGGATGCTGGAGGAGCCCACCCCACAGCGGGTGTGGGACCTCCACACTTGGGAGAACACTCAGGTAAGAATCTCCTTCCAGCTTCATTCTGGGGATATCCAAAGCTGGACCACTCATCCAGCAGCACCGGGGGTGTGGGAGCTCCTCCAGCACCGAGACAGAGTGGGAGGGTCTGTGCAGCCATGGGAGGCTGGAGAGAGGAGCCTCTGCAGGGGACACGAGGCTCCCTCACTGCTGCTGCTGCTGCTGCTGCTGGAATCTCCTTTCTTCTGGCAGCCAAGCAGCGGGGAGTTTTCTGAGAAACTGCCCACAGGGAGCGATCACTTTTTCCAGTCATTAACCTTCCACATCCCTCACATTACAGGAATACCTTGGATGTCTAAGTTGCTGCAGAGAGCTAATTCCTCCAGGTGACTCCAGGCAGCGATAAGTGGGCTCCTGCACAGCGAGGGGTTTGAAGTGCCAGAGCTGAAAGCGCTCCCAGCTCTGGCACGCCAGGCCTCCAGCAGGGGACACAGCCTCAGATGTCACAGCACGGGGGCAGCAGGGGCCTCTGGAGCTGTCATTTCCAACCTGCATTTCCAACTGGAGGGCCAGGCACAGGCTTGAGATGCCCTGTGCCCCCAGGGAAAAGGTTGAAGGATATTGGGGGAAAAGATATTTCGAAGATATTGGGGAATAAAAATCAGTGCCCTGAAGGGATAAATGTTGGGAAGTGCCAGTGCTGGCCTCTGGGATAGGTGTGTACCTGGCTGCACTGGGTGTCCCAGCCCTGGCAGAGCAGCAGATTTGCATCTGAGCTCTTTCCTCTGGTGTGGAAGATGAGCATGAGGAGTATTCAAAGGCAAGGAGGTGCCCAAGAGAATCCCAAAACCAATGAGAGAAGTATTTACAGAAGAATGGCTCTTATCATATGTACATAATATTAAATATAATATTATTTTGTCTGACAAATCACAATGTCTTCCTGTTGTGTTTCCTGGATTACACATCACCAGCATCCTGCCAGGAGTGGCTGAGTAACAATACTCACCAAAAATTGCAGAAGACACCAGATTTGTCTCTCATCAATAAGAGATGTCCCTGTCAGTGGCAGCAGAGCAGGACCAGGTCCCTCTGACAGAGCAAAGCCACCGAGAGCCAATGTGTGTTTGTACAAGAGGGGCACCATGGCAGTGAGGGCCAGCAGCCTGGGAAAGACTCTTTGGAGACAGAAGCAGCCTTCTGATTTTCCCAAATTGCCCTGTGATGGGAAGTGTCAGCCCAGACCTGGGGGAAACAGGGAGCACTGAGTGTGTGTGAGGACAGATTTAAATCCCACAGCAGGACTGAGCATGTGGAACCACATCAGCCACACAGGAAAAACTCCATTTATAATCAGAAAGTACAAAACAGCAACATCAGAAGTCACAGGTCATGGCCAAGGTACAGAACAGGGACCCACAGCACACACACTGAGGAAACTCATCCAGGGAATAAAACAACCACCTTCAAACACTGACACAAGGAAGGCAACAATCCAACACTCAATATCAGCACTGCCTGTGGCAGCACATCAATCCCAGCTTGGAGGGGCCCAAAACACCAGCAGGGATTTGGCTTGGATCTCCCCAGGGGCTCCCAGGTCCAGCCATGGTTTCAAACCCATGCACTGGGGAGCTGAAGTTGATGCAGGAGGGCTCTGCACTCCTTGGTGCCTCTGGGATAGTGTTTGGTTTGGATGAAGGAATGATGCTTTGCCACTCAGCATCTCATGAGAGGCACTCCATTTTCCCCAGCCTCTTAATCAGCACGCTTTCAAAATGAAAAAATTGTAATTAACAGGAGGTGGGCCCAGGCTGGGGACACAAACACGCCCCTGTTTTGGCACTGAAGCCTGAGTCCTGCCCTGCCAGCCCCCTCCAGCCCTGCTCCAGCTGTGCCGTGTTCAGTGTGCTGACACCTCACGGCCAAGGCAGAAACTCTGATAAGAGCCCGATTCCCAGGACATCACCCACACGTCCTCCATCTGCTCCAAGGCATGAAACCAGGCTCCTTTATCGACCAGTTTGTCATGAGCAGAACTGAACACCAAAGACAGGAGAGAAAACCAGTCCAGAGAGGCTTGGAGCTCTTGGATCACAAACAGCTGGGCACACCAGGGGCTGTTATTCAGAGCTGTGGTGGTCTGGGTGTCCCTGCTGCTGGAGGATGGCTCCAACACACTTCTCCAACTTGCGCTGAGCCATGCAAGGCCATCACTGCAGTCTCAGGCCTGGCAGGAGCATCCATATCAGGGTTACCCTGCTCTCCCCTGTCCTGTGGGGGTCTCCCAGGGGCAGATCAGCTCCTTTGCAGAGCCCTTCCGAGCCCGGGGCTGCCTCTCCTCTCCCTGCCCGGAGCCCCCAGGGCAGGCTGGGCTCTCCGGAGGCGCGGCCGTTCTGACTTGGAAGAAGCTGCATTGGAAAAACACAAACTCATCACACACACACACACACACACACACGGCACTTTTTGATGTGCTCTGAGGCAGCAAGCGAGCTTGGCTTTGAGATTTTCACCATTCCAGCCCCAAATTCCCACAGCAAAACCCAGGCATGAGCCCACGGAGAGGGAGGATGAGGGGAATGAGCACTGGCGCTGCTTTGAAGCTGCAAGGCCGCCCTGTGACAGAGCTCCGGAGCCAGGTAGAGCAGCAGCCCTCAGGTTTGTGCTTTGAAATTTATAATGTGGACTCATCCACTCAGCCAGCAGCAGATGTGGGTTAAAGGGATCAGGGACATGCTGCTCCTGGTGAGGGACATGGCCAGGGTTGGGTTCCTGCAGGGGCAGCCTTGCCAGGCAAAAACTCCCCATCTCTGCCCTGGAATGACAAACACTGAGCGACTCTGGCTCAAGATTTCCCCTCCCTTGTCACTTCTGGCTCTCCTCTGACTTGAAATCACTAAACCAAACCTGAGTCAGTGCACAAGAACACTGAGGTTCTCCAAATTCAGGGATTAAATGTAAAACCTGGGGTTTTGCACCCTGAACAGGGAATGGAGACAGGGAATGGCCTGGGTTTGTGGCAAGTGAGGCAAAGGTGATTCTCTGGGACCTCTCCCTCTGGCTAATCCCAAACCGAGCCGGCCCTGGAGCCGAGCCCTGTCCGGGTGTGTGTCCGTGTGTCCGTGCGCTGCTCACCTGCTGACCGTCCTGCTGTCGGGCCGCAGCCGCCGCTCCCGCCCGCCCAGCGGCTGCACCTTGCCGTGGGGCACGGCCGGGCCCCGGGCCGGCAGCGAGCCCGGGATGCCCGAGCTCCGGCAGCCCCTCCGCAGGAACCGGGCCCAGGCCCGGGCGGCCAGGCGGGATCTCCGGCCGCCGGAGGCGAAGGGGCCGGGGCCGGGTGCCCGCGGGTCCGGCCGGGTGCCCGCGGCGCTGCCCAGGGCCCGGTCCATGGGGGAGGGACAGGCGGAACCCCGGGGCAGGGGGGACACGGGAGGCACGGCCTGGGGCGATGCCGGGGTGCCGGGGCCGGCGTGGGCAGCCGGGCCGGGGGAGCAGGAGGCGAGGTGGGCTGGCTGTGGGGAGGAAAAGGAGAGAGGCTCAGTCAGGTCTGGGGGTGACACCCGGGGCTCCCCAGGCTTCTTCATGAGGAAAATCCCGCTCCTCCTTTGGTGCTGCCAGGAGAGAAGGGCTCAGCTGGGAGACAGCTCCAGCCATGTCTGTGCCTGTGACCCCCTGTCCTGCAGCTCTGCCCCCCCCCCAGCCATGCCTGTGCCTGTGTCCCTCTGTCCTGCAGCTCTGTCCCCTTCCCTGCCCTCCCCCTGCCCGAGCACTGGGCTGTCACACCTTGCCTCCGGGGTCACTGCTGCCACCACAGCCCCAGCAGGTGCTGGCAGATCAGCCCCACACCTGCCAGGATGCTGGAGGGGACACCAGCCTGTGTCACTCCTCACCACCATTAGCTGCAGGCACGGAGGAGGCTGTCATGCCAGAAATGTGATCTTGGTTATGGACAGCACAACCATGTCACACCTATGGCACCACCAGGGCCCCAACCCTCATAGTGCCAATGCCATCGCCTGCTGGAACCCCAGTGTCCCTGGCTGGGGCTGGGCAGGCTCCAGCCCAGCTCAGCCAGCCCTCAGGACAAGCCCAAGCACAGACTGGACAGGACAAGGACAGCACATGCTGCATGCCACGTCCCCTCCCATTTCTCAAGGACTTGGTCCCAGCAAAATGAAATGCAGCTCAAGTGTCCAGGGAGAGGAGCTGGGAGCAGAGGCACGCACAGGACATGCACACACACATGCAGAGATGGCACACAGAAGGATGAACACACTGAGACACCACAGAGAAGGATGAACTCGGCTCTTTTTCTGTTTCCTACATTTATTTTTATTAGACAGATGAACACATGGAAGCCATGGCCAAAAAAATTAAACAACACATGGAAACAAACACTTTCTCTGGGGCTGGCACAAAGTGAAGTTCAGCTTGTACCAGGCAACTTTCCTCTTCAGGGACTGAGCAGCAGAGGATGAGGAGCAGAAGGCTGGGCTGTGACAGCTCCATCAGCCTGTGGCAGGGCAAAGACAGCTCCTGCCTGGGTGTGAAGGATGGCTGCTTGTTCCACATGCAAAAACTGGTGTTCTACATGCAGTAACTGGTGTTCCACACAATAACTGGTGTTCTACAAGCAGTAACTGGTGTTCCACACAGTAACTGGTGCTCCACATGCAGTAACTGGTGTTCCACACAATAACTGGTGTTCGACACAATAGCTGGTGTTCCACATGCAGTAACTGGTGTACCACACACAGTAACTGGTGTTCCACAAGCACTAACTATTGTTCCACACAGTAACTGGTGTTCACAAGCACTGACTGGTGTTCCACACAGTAACTGGTGTAACTGGAATTCCACAAGCACAGTGACTCCCGAGCATGCAGCACAACCCATGGCAGGGGAGCAGTGATGCCAAGCAGAGATGATAAAAAACCAGAGAACGGAATGGATCCAGAGAACATAACAAGCGAAGCAGCAGACAAAATAGAAGTAGAATCAGAGGGACTGACGGGAACACACAGATTTGTTATTTATTATTTATACCCTGACTTGATCTTCCACATGTTCCTACATACTGGCAATCCCAACATGCTCAGTGCTCCATGTTACACAAACTCTGCAGACTCCAGAGCTCAGCACAGCCCAGTGCCTTTGGGACAACCCTGCCAGGTTCTGGACAGTTTTCCAGTGCTCTGATGTCCAAACAGGCTGAGGGTGTTCAGCACCTGATGTAACAAAGCCTTGGGGTTTAAATTTGCAAAAAGGCAGCCTGAGCCTGCTCCCCTGCCCAGCAGTGCAGAATGTGCCTGTGCTTCCAGCAGGAGTGAGAACAACATCAGAGGGAAGGTCTGTGGTGACTCAGTTTGAATTCCTCTGGGGTTTATCAGTGATGGGGTAAGGAAGGGCAGGACAACCTCCCTGGCTCAACCACAAGTGGAGGAGTGACACCAGATCAGAGTGTCCAGCCCTGACCCTGCCATGGGGAGGGCCAGAGTCACTGCTGGGGACACAGTGACATCATGACTGTCCCCTGTTCACAGGGAGTTGCCCTGCAAGGACCCCAGGGCCTGCATGCACCCCACTATCCAAGGGCTCCCATTCCCTGCCAGCTCTCTCCTGAAGCTGCCCCATCCCTGGCCAGGCTGGATGTGGCTCTGAGCACCCTGGGACAGTGGAAGGTGTCCCTGCCCATGGCAGGGGGTGGAATGAGATGAGCTTTAACATCCCTTCCAATCCAAACCACTCTGGGATTCTATGATCTCCCATTTTCTGTAAAATCCTACCAGTATTAAAAAGGGATGAACAATGTGAACTGGAAAGAGGCAGCTTCCCAGACCTCAGTGCTTCCACCCACTTCCTTTCCTTCCCCAAAATTTTAACAAACAAGGAAAATTTCTGCCCCTTTAATTCCCTTTACTGGGAATCTTCACACCTCTGGTAACCATTGGCCTGGTCCAGGCATGCTGGGCTTTTCCAGCAAGGCCTGCAATCTTTATCCCTAACCTCTTTAGCACTAATGTGGTATTTCAGCTTGTCTTATTCTACAGAGCAAAAGAAAAAGAAAATACTACCTAAAGTTGAAATCTGCTCTCAACACCTCTACCTCTTCTCCCTTGCCTCTGGGCTACGAGCCAGTGACAACTGCAGCTACCTCCTGTTGGATTTTTAACAACAGAAAATAGAAGAGCAGGAAAAAGACAAGACAAGAGGTGGGAAGGACTGGATAAAATCTCTCTTGGCTCTGGCAAGGGGCAGCTCTCTGCACCTGCACACCCAGCTCACAGCACAGGAGTCACGGGGAGAGCAGAGCTGAGCTGATCATCTCCAGCGTGCCAGGGGATGCGGGAGTGTCACTCAAATTCAGAAGGGCAGCTAAACCTTCAGAAATGCTCCTGCTGCTGCTCCCACAAGCAGCTCCTGTGCCTGTGGTGCAGGACTCTTGGAGTGGGGGTGTGCTCCTCTCAGGGGGTGCCCTGGGAGGGTGCAGAGCCCCCCATGGGATGGAGGCCAGCAGGGACACTGTGGGCTGGCTCACCTCGCCCTGCTCCCTGCAGGTTCATCCCCTTAGGGCCAAGGCAGGCTGGTCTGAACCCAGTGGGGCACAGCTCTGCCCTGCCCTGGAGCAGCAGGGACGGGCAGCCGGGCTCTGCAGCCTCCCGGGGCTGTGGGGGCATCTCCCCTCCTGGGTGTGCAGGGCGCTGCCCCCGAGCCTGGCACAGCAGCCTGGCACTGCCCGGGAAGGGACATCGGCTCTCCAGCAGCCATGGCAACGTGCGGGAGCTGGCAGAGCCCGAGCCGGCCTGGGAAAGCTAAAGCAGCACTGACACCTTCAGGAAGGGGAGACGAAGCTCAGCCCAGCCTCGCCTTGTCTTTTCCCTGCGGGGCTCAGAGCCTACTTGGGAGGAGCTTCCTTCTGCAGCTGGTTCCTGCGGTCCAGCTTGCTCATGACCTGCGTGATGTCCACGGTGTTGGCGGCTTCCCTGGCCTTGGCCTCCTCCTCCTGCTGCCTCAGGATGATGGGGCTGGGGCTGGAGCGCAGGTGGCGGCGTCCGAACAGACCCGTGCTGGGCAGAGACAGGGCAAGGACAGGGTTACTGAGGAGAAGGGCACCTAAACCTCCCCCTGGCAGCAAAGGGACCCGGCAGGACCAGCTGGGACACAGAAATGGCCAAAGGAGTGACCCAGCAAAGTGACCCAGCACAACAAGCTGGGACACAGAGATGGCCAGAGGAGTGACCCAGCAAAGTGCTTTACACAGCACGGGGTGAGTCAGTGTCACACACAAGCTACAGGACTGCTAAAAGTGTCCAAGTCCTGCTGCTGAGGGCACACAGACACTCATCACTCAGAGCAGAGCCCATCACTCAGACCAGACCCACAGTGTCACACACATCTTCTATGAAAAATCCTTTCCTTAAGATTTTTCCTCCTAGGAAGCTGAGAGGCCTCAGGAACAAAGTGTAAACAATGGTTATCTGCTGCTGTGGAATGCAACAGGTGCATTTTTGATTGATCTATGTGAGTTGTTTTTACTTGATAACTAATGACAGCTACTTGTGTCAAAGCTATAAGCAGTCACAAGATTTTATTATCATTCTATTCCATTTTTTTTCTAGCTTTCTGATGTTTCTTTTCTATTTCTTTAGCATAGTTTTAATATATAATTTTCTTTTATTATAATATATATAATAAAATAATAAATCAGTTTTCTGAAACATAAAGTCAAGATTCTCATCTCTTCCCTCATCCTGAAACCTCTACAAACAGAGATCCCATGGATTATCCCAGACCTTGGGTCTGTCTCTGCTCTGGCAGCCAAGGTTTGGTGGGCAGAAGTTTTCCCATGCTCAGGCCACCAGTGCTGTCTCCTTCCAGGAAAGGAGCCCTGAATTAATTCAATAATCCCAGCCCTTCTCAGCAGACCCAGCAGAGAAGGCAGCCGAGCAATCAGCAGCTCCACTCCTGTTCACAAGCCTTTTCCAAAGGGCTCATGAATAAACAGCACCATCAGTCTCAAAGCAAAGCATCTTCTCAGTGCAAAATTTTATTTAATTAAGAGAACATCTAAATCATAGTAATTTTGCTGCAACTTAGGCTTTTTCTACCCTTGCTACAACAAGAAAAACAAACCCCACAATTACAGCCAGTTTCACTTGCCTTTTTTTGACACCCTCTTGTGGCACAACAGCCTTGGCCAGCATTTCCTTGTATATTGGAGACTTTAAATAGCGGCCATAGGAGTCCTACTAGGAGAAAAAAGAGACACTGGTAGTTATGGGCTGCAAACACCCTTATTAAAATCACCACCAAATGCTCAGGAGCCAGGGAGGCTGGGAACTGGATAATCTCCCCCAGTAGCTCAAGGGACTTTGCATCTTTCAGGCAAATGTAGCTATTTAAACCAATATCCTTTCATCTGGCTGGAAAATTCCCAGGATTTTCCATCTCACAATAAAGCTTCACAGGTAAGACCCAGATCAAAAGATCTGAATGAGGCTTAGCTTGGGCCAGCAGGGTCTCAGAGTCACTGCAAGGTGAGGAGCTTGTGTTCCACGAGCCAAACTTTTCATCAGTCAGTGAAAATCAGTCCAGTTCTGCTGCTTCCATGGAAGCTGGAATTGAAAGCAGGACCTGCAGCAGCCCCCTGACCCCACCACCTTGGGGACAGGCTGAGAGGGAAGGAGCAGCAGCAAAATACCAATGCCTGAAGCAGCACTTGCTTCACTCAGCAAATCTGAGGGATTTTCACACAAAGGCCCCTTGAAAGGGACAGCTGATAGCACACAAAGGCTCTGGAAGGGCTGGAATCCCCCTCAGGCTCTGGCAGCAAATAACAAACCTTTTTCATCAGCATGTAGATGTGGGTCTGAGCAGCATCCAGAACATATCGATGAGGGTGCTCCAGGCCCTTGACTGTGATGCCCATTGTTTTGCCATCGATGTTAATCCAGCGCCTCGCTCCCGGAGCCAGGAACAGCCTGCCAGGAGGAGCAATCGACAGTGCCATTAGCAGCTGCAGAACCCACAGACTCCTGTCTGCGCACCAAAGGAAAAGTCCCTTCAGCTCCCTGCCGCTATTTGCTGTCCTGATTTGGGCAATCAATGTTCTCTTCATCAGAGACTCAGTGCACTCACTTCCTCTTGTACAGAACTTCAGCTCCCTGGAAGCAAAAAGCCTCTCCCCACTTTGCTTGTGGCAGCCTCAAGAACTTTGCTGTTCCATACCAATATTTAAATTACATCCTAAGACTGAAATATAACAGAGAATAGAGAGGAAAAGTAAATATATACTAAAAAAACACTTCTACTTTCATCTTCAAAAGCTCCTTTCCTGTGTGGGGACAAAAGACAGCCACATCTGATAATAGCCTGCACGTAAAAACCTTAGGAATAAATCATTTGGAGAATGAGAACCTGTGGAAGGTGATGGGACTCATGCACAAAGAGTTAAAGAGTGGAAAGTTTTCCCACTCACTTGTAGATTTCTTCTGCTTTTTCTTTGACCTTGGATTGGTCTCCATACTTGAGATCCTCACAGGCTTCCCAGAAACCCAGATTCTCTCCTGCATGACAAGGGCACAATCAGCAGAGAGTGAGATTGAGGAAAACACAATCCCATTTATTAACTCCTGGATTTGTCTGGCACAATTTGCTGGCCCCAAATCAGTCTTTCCAACTGACTGAAAGAGGAGAACAGCTTTCCCCTGTTCTCTGCCCACTGACACCTCTAAGAACTTGTGAGCTCAGCCAGTTCCCTTCTCTGGGAGCAGTCAGAGAATCAGGGAATGCTCTGGGGTGGAAGGGACCTGAAGTTCCATCTCAGTCCCATGGGCAGGGACACCTTCCAAATATCCCAGGCTGCTCCAAGCCCTGTCTGACCTGGCCCTGGACACATCCAGGGACAGCCAGAGTGTCTCTATAGGACATGAAACAACGGGAACACACACACCGCTGCTCACAAGGTGAAGAAAAGGGAAGTTTATTTTCTCACCCCAACATTTATAGTTTTCCAAAAGTGACAGTGGATTGGAGCGTGACAGTGCCACCTCTCCAATGACACTGGACAAGCTAACAGTCTATCAAATTTCTCTTCTTCCATAGAAGAATGTAAAACAATGAGGTATTTACAGAAAGTGTGTGAGAAAGTTTGCTACAAGAATGGAAACACCAGAAGGCTTGGAAAATCTTAAAAAATCTTAAAAAATCTTTAAAAAATCTTTAAAATTCTTTAAAAACCCTGTGCCAGGGCCAGCCCACCCTCACAGGGCACAATTCCTTCCTAAAATGCAATGTAAACCCTCTGAGGCTGGGCTGTACCGTGTGTCCTGTGCCACTAGATGGAACCGCCTGCCCTGGCTGCAGAGCCTGCAGCAGCCGTGTCACCTCAGCCTGGGGACACGGGGACACTGCCACCCACCGCTGAACTCCTTCTTCAGGAAGAGCTGGAAGTTCTGGCGGCCCTTGGGGTCCCGGATCAGCTCGCTGAAGTTGAAGGCCCATCGCTCCACGCGCATCCTGGTGGGCACCTCCACCCTGCACGGGGAGAACACACACAGCACCGCTGCTTCCTCTAATTAGCAGATTAATTAAAACCAAAATGCCCTTTGCTGCAGTGCCAAGGGACTTCTCAGTATTCTCTTGTTTTCCAGAGTGGTGTAATGAGCTCCTGAAGTCAAGCCACTAAGTAAGTTGTAATTAAACAACTCAGGGTGCAGCGGGATGAGGATTTAACTGGGATTTCTGCAGCTCTCAGGGACAGCCCAGCCTTGCCCTGAGGTTTGACTCAGTCCCACCCTGAAGGAGGCACTGGTGGCTGCTCAGAGCTTTGCTTCTCATGAAGGCACTCAGTGCAGGCATCCCTGGGGATGTCTGATGGGATTCAGTGAGTCCAGGATTGCTGCTCTCAGGACCACTGAGATGTTGGATGCTCCAAGCCACTGTGTAATTAGCAAACCCTATCCAAAGGGAAAACCAAGGGGGGCCTCAGAGAAGGGATGGATACCAGTGAGTGCCTCCAACCCAAAGCCTGAGGGGTGAGCAAAGAGCCAATTACTGGATGTCCAGGGGAGCAGCTGAAGCCTGAGCTGCTCCTGTTCCACTCCAGCGCTGGTCAAGGTGGAACAGGATCCATCCTCCACTCATCCAGGGAGGATCAGACCCACCAGCAGGGCTGAGTGCACACTCCCATCATCAGCTCAGGAATTTCTGGGATGTTAAGGAAGGCTCCACTTGAAGGAGGCAGTGCTGAAAGTTCAGCATGGAGTACTCCCAATTTCAAAATAAGTTTGAAAGGGAACACTTCTCTGTGATCAGATACCACAACAAAAATCAGTGCTTCCCTTTCCTGATTTCTATCAGTGTAAAGGTCACTGTAAACCACAGGTTGGCAAAACAACAGAAATACATACAGCTTTGCATTGAGATCCCAAAAATCAGGGTCATCTGATATCCAAGGGTTGCTGGGGAGACATCCAGACAGGATGGGATCATTGGAGAGGAACTGCTCAGAGTACTTCACAACCCTGCAACAAATCCAAAATCAAAACGTGAATTTGGAAGGCAGAATTACAGCCAGCCCCATTATAGCCAAATAACAGATTACAGATCTCCTCAGAGGTGCAGGACTCTCAGCACAGGGATCTGGAAGGTGGCCTCTGCCTTCCCACAAAAATCAATTCATTAGCTCAGGTAATCTTTTCCATTTCCCAGCAGAATCTCCTTTTGAAGCAGTGAATTTGTCAAATACAAGGAGCTACAAGACTCTTCCATCACCTCCTTCTGCCTTTTCATTTTAAGGAAGAGAGATTTAGGACTCTCTTAAGGAGAGTTTCTGTCTCCTGTTCTCAGCTGGCCAGGGCCTGATCCTGCCCTGCTCTGGGGGGAAAGTGTCAGGGAAAGGAACCCAGGGTTTGTGCTCACCCAGGCGGGTTCTCAGCCTTCCCACGGGCCATGGGAGAGCTCAGGGAGCTCTGGGAAACTCAGGGAATGCTGAGGGCTCATCCCAGCTTCTCCTTTCCTCCATCACCCACCACAGGGCTCATTCCTCTGCGAGTGGCTCTGAGGGCTTGGCACAAAGCAGAGCTGCCTCTCTCCCATCAGGAACCAGACAAACACTTCTCCTACCTTCTAACTTGGCCAGACTTCTAATTACAACTGATTTCACTAATGTCCTGGAATTTTAGCTCCAGCCTCCCTTTTTCAATCTTGAAAAAAAAAAATAAAAATCCTCTGGTTTCTGCATTTAAAATTCCTTGCAGGCCAAAGTGCTTTGATGTGCTCAGAGCTGGGAGTGCAGTGTCCATTGCTAACAGGCACCTTGGCACTCATCCTGCAGTGCTACAGAGCAAACCACAGGGCTGGCACAGAGCTGCCCCATCCTCCCTTCCCTCTGGGAATGCCCAGGCATCCAGCACCTGCACTGGCCACTCCTGCCCATGATCAAGCAAATCTAAACCTGTCAGCTCAGGTAACACTGCTGTGTGGTCCTGAAGTGCTTTGCAGCTTCTCCCAAATCACTGCAATGCTCTGAAGCTGAGTTGCTGCTCAAATCCCCATTAACAATAATTTGATTTGGACCCAACCCTGCAGCTGACACTCAGGAGTTCCAAAATTCCTGAGATTTTTGATGTAGTTGATAAGCATCATCCCACCAAACTAATGAGAAAAAACCTCCATTGCCAAACAGCGAAACACCACAAAATTGCTGGAAAGCAGCCAGGGGTCCCCAGCTCCAGCTCACAGCTTGGAGAATTGAGGCAGCAGAGTTTTAACTGACCTGGGAGTCAGTGACAAAATGAACATTCCCTGTGCTGTGCAGGGAATTGGCCACTGAGCATGGGGCAGAGGCAGCCCAGCCTCCCTCCAGAGCTCTGGGCAGGAAGATCTGCCTCTGGGTAAGAAATATCTGCCTCTCCAACCCCAGTGCCCTGCAAGCTGTGGCTCTCTGAAGACTCTCTCTTCCACCCATCCCATTCACCCAAGATTATTCCCCAGGGAAATGGCCTGAGCACCTTGTTTCTGTCAGGTGTGACAGGGATCCCTGGTGGCAATGGCAGTGCACCGGGAGGTTGCGCCCCAAGGAGCCTGGTCAGCACAGGAGGAATTCCTCTGGCACACACAGCAGTGCCTAAAGCCAGGGCTGGAGGCTTCATCAAGGATGTGAGCAGGAAACTCTCCCACTGGGAAGGGGAATTGCTGATTAATTGCTTGGGTGCTGATGGGGAGGCTGCTTCCCTCTGCAGGGTTACACAGCCAGAGGTGAGCACCACCATGGGGCAGGGACAGCCCAGGGTGGGGAGCAGGGGCAGGAGGGTCAGTCTGTCCTGCTGGCTGCCCCTCCTGAAGGACAGACACACTGCTGGATCCTCCCAGGCATCACAGCTGACCAGGGCAGTGTCAGCATCTCCTGATCCCAGTGGGATTCTCAGCCAGAGGTTGGTGCTGCTCTGCAGCAAAGCTCCCAGGGAGGCTCTTCATCCTGCTGGGACTCTGATCCCTCCTCCTCCTCCTCCCAGACAGCCCAGACAGCACTGGGCCACCACATGGATGCCCTGGCTGAGTCACCAGCTGCCAGAGCAGACAGCTTCATCAGCTCATCGGGAGATAAGCACTGCAGACTAATTAATGTGTGGACAGAAGGAAATCAGGACTTACCCTCCAAGAGAGACAGAGGATTTCACTCTGGTCTTCAGGATGGCCTGCTGATAGTACATGATCTGAGGGATCAGACATGGCCACGGTTAGGAGCACAGAGGTTTGAAGATAAGGCCTATCTAAACCTCAGACTGCTTCTCTCCCAGGTAGTGGGGCCAATTACAGCAGGGACTGCTTCTTCCCTAATTACTGCATGTCCAAGGAACCTGAGGATCCCTGAATTCTCTCAGTAAAATGTCTGTTTTCACTGAGCTCACTGCAAACATCACAAACTCACTTTGCAATGTGCAAGTAATTAAAAAGCACTCCCCATGTTATATAGAAATTGAATAATAGCTCCCATCCTCAGCACCTACAAATGCTCTGGATGATTTAGCATGTAATTAGCACTGATTCTTGGCTGTCTCTGTGCTGGCGCCACCGTGATTTCCCCACCACTAATTTGGATCTATTGGATTTCAGCCCTGGTGTCTGTCCTTGCCTGAGCCTTCCCGTCACTGGGAGAGCTGCAGTGGGAGGGAATGGCCTGAAATTAATTTGATAAAAGCTCCATGAGGCCGGGATTCTGCTTTGCAGAGAGCCCATGCCCTGCACGGAGGGCTTTGAGCCACACAGGGTGAACACTGAGAAGTGAGGGAAGCACCACTCACCTCTCTCCTGTAGAATTCCATAGTATTTTTCTGTAAAATATATTAAAAAAAATCATTAAATTGGGATGCTTACATTTGTTTTTTGGGTTTTCTGAGCCATGGAAACACCGTTGCAGCGCTGCCGTTGTGCAGCGCTCTCCAATTAATTCTGATTACAATTAAAATCAAACACAGCAGCTGAGCTAATCAGGGTATCATCAAAGCTAAGAGCATCCCCACACGGTAAATTGTCCCATTAGCTGTATTTACTGTTTAGCATTGCTTCTCCCATCACAGGCTGCCTGTATGCCTTCAATTAAGGGGTTATTCTAATGGAGCTAAAATAGATTCATTTATGAGACACAGATTAGATCATTCAATATTAGCTAAAGGAGACAGGAACCAACACATTGCAAAATATAAACACCACAATTAAAAGCCTCAGAAGCAGTATCTGCTGTGCAAAGGGTGTTTAGGTTGTGATTTGAATAACTCAGCCTATGTTACATGTCATCCACAAATGAGCAAGCAATCGAAGGCAAGGAATTAACTGCAGGGTGTTTATTCACACAGTTTCCTTTGAAGCGCAGTTATTTGTGTGGAATAAACTGCAGAAGGGAGAAGGAAAGACAGGCTAAGTCAGGGATGCTCCCAGCAAGCCTTTAAAGGCTCGGGAAGGGTTTCAGTTGCTCAGCTCCTGTTTCAGTCAAGGCCTGCACCCCAAAATTCTTCTATCAAATGAGTCCTGTGGCAGGTGGGGTCTGCAGAGTGCTTTGGAGCAGTGCAGTTTGTGAGGGATGAGGGATGAAGATTCTGGTCCTGAATGGCACAGGCAGCTCTGCTCTCCCCTCACCTGCACCCCAAACTGCTTTGGGAAGGGCAAGATGCTCCCCCAGGCTGCTTTGTGAGGACACTGATCTGCTTGTGCACTCTAACCACCATCCTGCTCAGGAGGGAGAAATTCTTCTCCACAAGGCAGAAAAGCACCCCCAGCTTTGGTTCTGAGCACCCCCACTCACCATTTCAGCAGCAGGAGCCAGAAATGCAGCAGAGCCCAATCCCTACAGCCCCACCACAAATCCAGCCCTGACCCTGGCCCTGGCCACCAAAAAAGGTCCTGGCAGTGGTGTTGTGAGGGGAGGAAGCTTTTCCTTCTGGGAATGCTATGAGCAGCCCTGAATGGGCAGCACAGGAAGCTTTTCCTGCTGGGAATGCCATGAGCAGCCCTAAATGGGCAGCACAGCCCATCTCAGCAGGGACAAACAGGGCAGCACACCCAGCAGTGATGCTGGGACACATCAGGGGACACAAAAAGCTCCAGGACAGCAGGATCCTTGCTCACAGGGCTGTACAGCCTCCCCTGCTGATTCACAAGCTCCTGGCACACCCTGGTAAATGATGGAGGAGCTGAGGAACAGCCAGGAATCAGCTGCATCCCTGATTCCAGGCCACCTTCCATTCCTTCCCCTCATTTCTACAGTGTCATTGTTTCAGACAGACTGCAGAAATGGAAGGGAAAATCACCTGTTTGCACAGTGAAATTTATTCTATTTCCTGCCCTAAAGTGTCCTGTTTGGAGCCCTGTGTTTGTGCCCTCCTGCACAACACGAGTTCTCTGTCTCCCTGGGGAATGTGAGACACAAACCAGGCCTCATCACATTTACAAGTGCCAGCTGAAGGGCTCCATTTGATGGAACTTGTGGCCAGAGCAGTGATTTCAACACATTAAAATCATTTAAAAAACCCTATTTTCTTCCACTTTTTTTGCCAACTGGGGCCTCAGACAGGCCTGGTGCAGTGGGGAAGGAGAAGTGGGTGCTGGCACAGTGGCTTGAAGGCAGCTCACGTGGCAGGAAAGTGCTGTTATCTTCTAGAGGGGCCTGGCAGCACAGCACACACACGAGACAAACAGCTGTGGGAAAGAGAAAGAGAACACAGTGAGTGAAATGTTCTACAGAGACACAAAGGGGTCAATTAAAATGCCATCACAACAGGAAAATTATATGTGGGTGAAGAAAAATCAGCAAACAAGGGAAGATTTTTTTATTTTTTTAAGTGCCCCGCACAGCAAGGATCCCCTCCTGGAAGTCAGTGTGGTGGGCAACTGCTCCTGGGAAAACAAGGGGGCTTTGCGAAGGCTCCAGGTGGGGAGGGGATTTGTTAAAGCTCCAGGTTGAGAGGGGATTTGCCCCAGAAAGGGGCTGAGCACCTCTGAGCAGTGGCACAAACTGACTGCAGCAAATCCAAGGGGAGCCCAATGCTGAGCACCTGAGAGGCTGCAGGTGCTGGCTGTGCTCAGCCCCTTCCAGCTCTCAAATCAGCAGCAACTGGGAGGAATCTCAGCTATTCCACCCCAGAGCTGCTCATAATTTCATTTCCCTTTCTCCCAGTGCCCCAGTTCCCATTCAGAGCTGCTGCAAGTGGCCCTGGGCACTGTCCCTGTCCCACTGAGCACTGCCAGCTGTGCCCACCCTCCCTGACCCCAGCACTGACTGCAGCAGTGCCAAAGTGCCCTGCACCACCCACCCACTCTGCCTCATTTGGAAGGAAATCATCTTTGGAACAAAAGAGTGGCTTCTCATAATGAGATTTAATTTTGCAATGCCCTTATAATGAGTGACTTATCCCAATTACTGCAGCCTCCAGACCAACGTGGCAATTACTGCAAGGCCTCAGTCTGTCCCAAGCGAGTGCCACGAGCTGTGCCACATCCTGTGGCACCCCTGAGTGCCCTGGTCACACTCTGTGCCACCAGCTCTGAGCTCCCTGGGCACTGCAGGGCCAGGAGCTGCTCAGAGCCCTGCCTGTTTATCTCCCTGTGCTCTCCAAACTTGTGATGATGCAGCAGAACTTTATCAGGCAAACTGACAGGATTTATGAAATTAAAGGCCAGCAGTGACTCATTGATCTGTGGCTGATTTGCTGCACACAACAAACCAGGGCACTTCATTCAGCAGCCTCTGAGGGCAGCACAGGGATTTTTGGGGGAGTTAAAGCTCTTTTAGAAGGACTTTGGCTCCAGAGGCTGTGCAGGTTCCTGCACGCACTCAGGGCTCATTCTCAAGCTCTGAGGCTTGGTGTGAGCCTGAGAGACAGCAAAAAAAGGCTAAAACATCCCTTAACCAGCTCTTCAATAGGTGGCTACTTCTGCCTGAACCCCTAACACACTGTAACCACGAGCTTTGCCCATGGATCAGTAATAAAAATGTTTCAAATGATTCTGAGCTCCAGAGGACTCTGTCTGTGAGTGGGGAGCAGCCCACCAAAGGGTCTGAGCAAGAGAAGGAGAGATGTTCATGCTAATGTCAGCCTCAAAGAAATCAGGAATTCATTCTTTTCTTTCCTTCTCAACGGCCAAGATAAAAAACTCCATAATTTGGTCAACAAAGGGAGGGTAGATTGAGCAGGAGCAGGGACACAAATCAGAGCTTGGCCCATTTATTCTTCCAAAGGCTGCTGAGACACAGGTGCTGGTGAGAGCAGAGGACAAAAATAAAGCTGCTGGTCCAAAAAGGGCTCCATGAGGGCTCTTGGCTGTCTCTTGGAGTCTCAATCACTCTTTCAAAAGCAAAAGGAGGAGCAAGGAGAACCTTCCCTCCTCAGCTCAGCCTCCAGAGGGGAGAATGGCAGGGAAGTCACCCCAAAGCTCAGAGAAGGAGAATGGCAGGGAAGTCACCCCAAAGCTGTGTCCTTTGATTTCTGCCCTCCTTGGAGCCTCCCCTGTCCCTCATGGCCAGGGGAAAGTGGGCAGAGACCCCTCAGCTCCCTCCCCTGTGCCACCAGGCACTGGCAGCTCCTCAGGCCGTTTGCAAACCTAAAATCCCTTCCATGTCAGCTGTAAAACTGTGCGTGAGAAGTTGGCCCACTCCTCTTTCTATCCCTCTCCCTTTCCACTACTTCTTTACTCTTAAAAAAAGAAAACAAAAAAAAAGAAAAAGAAAAAGGCTTTTCAGCAGCTGCTACTTACAGGAAAAAAAAATAATAAAATACACCCCAAGCCTACACTTTGCTGCTTTTCAGTCTCTATAACAACAGAACACAGCTGGCCAAAGCAATTTTCCTGCCTTGGCTGGAGGTGTTTAAAGGCTGCTACAGCAATGGGAAGTTGTGGGAGCACTGTGTGATGGCAGAAACATTTGCACTGAATTGCTGAGAGATGTTTTGACTTTGCTTCCAAATGAACATTGTTAAGGGCACAAAGACAGGATCACCTCAGAGGGCTGATGGGGAAAGGGAACAGCAGCTCCAGCTCCTCATCCGCTGAATGGATCTGTGTGATTTCAGACCAGTTCACCCAGTCACAGCCCTCACACCCTCCATTCACTGATTCTGTTTCTTTATGGTTTACAATATGCATTTTTGGCAACATTTTGTGCCTCCAAAATACTTTGTTGTCTCCACCACACCAACTTCTTACCACACATTAATTACCCTCTGGGAGTTATTCTGTGATTTGATTTTAAACCTGGATCTGTGCACTGACCTGTGGGGGCCTGAATATATGTTGTATTGTAAGACCTGTGTGGGTCCGAGTTGCTCCAAACGAGCTGCAGCTGCAGGGTCCTTAGTTGGGCAGCAGCTGTAGCTCATGAAGGTAACTGAAATAAATAGGGGTGGGTCAAGAGCCCAAGAGGAGCCCCTGAGAAGACAGGAAGGACTGTGCTGCAGAGAATGGAGAAGAGCCCCAGCAGAGAGGCAAGAACAACACTGCAGCGAAGATTACAACAACTGGTGACCCCGACGTGATGGACAGCTGAGAGCTGGGACTGTATAGGGATATGCATATATTCTATGGTTGTATCTAAGACAGCTGAGAGCTGTGGCAGCCTGAGAGCTGGGACTGTATGCGTATTGTAATTGTATAATTGTTAAAAGAAAAGGGGGGAAATGTGGGGGCCTGAATATATGTTGTATTGTAAGACCTGTGTGGGTCCGAGTTGCTCCAAACGAGCTGCAGCTGCAGGGTCCTTAATTGGGCAGCACCTGTAGCTCATGAAGGTAACTGAAATAAATAGGGGTGGGTTGAGAGCCCAAGAGGAGCCCCTGAGAAGAAAGGAAGGAGTGTGTGGCAGAGAATGGGGAAGAGCCCCAGCAGAGAGGCGAGAACAACGCTGCAGCGAAGATTACAACACTGACCCTTTACACCCCACAAAGTTCATTCAGCACTCGTACAAAGGAGCACCTGGGGACAGAGGATTCCTCAGTTCAGCTTCACCAGCAGAGAAAACATGTCCTGCAGCCAAGCCCTCACAGCAACTGGTGTGGCAGGAAAGCTGACAAAGCCTTTTCAAGGCAGAAGGAGCTGCCAAAGCCATTCTGAGGGCCTCACCTCCTGGGTGAGAGAGCCTCAACTCTGCCCTGTTCAGCTGCTAGAGCTGAGCTGTCACACTCAGCCTGCAGTGCCCAAAAAATGACAACCCCAGGGACATTTTCTGCGCCCTCCCAGATAAATTCAGTAGGTGTGTAAATAAAACCCAGCCCTGTCTCACCTGGTTTACCTTACTTTCATTGGGATCTGTGACTCGGTCTATTCCATACTCGAGGGCGCTCAGCATGCCTGGCTGTGGTGAACAACAAACAGAGCTTTGGAACTCGTTTGGTTTAAAGGCACAAATGCAGGAGGAGACCCCCAGGCCTCCACTGGCAGCAGCTCCCAGCCAGCAGTGCCTTGGGAACCCCCAGATTTGGGATTGCCCCTCTCCAAGCTGCAGCTGGAACTCTGTCCCTTGCAGCTTTGGGAACAACCAGTTGTGGGAATCCACAAAATCAGAGGGTTTTGGGAAAGCAGCAAAAGGCAGCCCCAGAGACAGCAGAACTATGATTAGAGCTGAGCAGCAGCCATGAGATTGGTCAGCAGAAAAATTATTTAAACTGTAGAAAAGCAAGGACAAATAGAACAATGGTCTATGTATTAATACTTGTCTAGAACAACTCCCTAAGCCACAGAAAAGTTCATCTAGTGAGATATTAGGAAGTTTGAAGCTTAATAATGGAGCTCTGTGCATTGTGTTTGAAGGCTTACAAGCAGGTATTGTATTTGAAATAAGCAAGCACTGTTTAAACAAAGGGCCTAAAAGGGGTGGATAGAACTACTGTCAATGTGCTTTTGCTTTGTGTGATTGGGCAAAAAGCTTATAAAGTGAGTTGTAACATGAAGTTCTTGGTCTGCTGCCTGGGATGTGAGCTGGTGGCATCTTCCCATTGCCATAACCATGTACTGAGACTGATGCTGGAAAATCAAACAGCTCAAGGCCGTTCCCAGCAGTCCCATCCCATTTGTGATTTGTACAGAGTCCCCAGCCAGCAGCACCAAGGGAAGGTGCTGGGGACTCAGGGCAGCTCTGGGCTGGCCCTGCCCTGGCACTCAGCCCCTTCCACAAGGGAGTTTGTCCCAGGTGGCTGCAGGGAGGGCACCACGAGTCACTGCAGTCACCCTGTGCCCCCTACTCACAGGAGTTCTGTTCACAAGCCAGTAGGCTCTCTCCTGGCAGTCCAGGGCATACCTGTCCTCCTTCTTCCGCTCCTTCCCTGCCCTGCAAAGCAAGAACAGGGGAATTCAGCAATTCTGCCCTCCTGAATCAGTGGGATGAGAAGCAGGGCACACCTCCAGCCTGCAGTGCCCCGTGGGTCCCAGCCTGACTGAGCCATCGCTGCCCCAACGCCAGCCCTGCCCACATCCTGTCCTGGCTAATTCTGGGCTGCACATCATCTTCACATGGCCACACATGACTCTGCCTTTTGAGAAATCATCACCACCATCTTCCTGAGCTGAGCTGGGAGCAGGCACAACCCCTTCTGGCACAGACACATTTTATCAAAAGTCCTTTCCTTAGGATTCTTCCTCCTGAGAAGCTGAGAGGCCTCAGGAACAAAATGCAAACAATGATTATCTGCTGCTGTGGAATGCAACAGGTGCATCTGTGATTGGCCCATGTTGGTTATTTCTAATTAATGGCCAATCACAGTCAGCTGGTCAGTCACAAGATTTCCTTTCCTTTCC